ATCTTAAAGTGGCCAAGTTTGGACAACACTGCTCTACTCAATGAACTTAAATCTGTTCTTTGTATGAAAGGAGCTGCTCTGACACCTTTCCTTGGCTTTTGATTCCCTTGCATGATCAAAGCTGCCTAATAGCAAAAAAATTTATACCCATGTACTGTGGCTGTCCTAAAACTCAGTCTATGTCCCTGCACTTTTTCTTACCTTGAAAAGTTGGAAGTGAATGGTTCTGTTCTTAAATCTGAAGTATGAATATCCAGCCAAAGCAATGATTCCAATGACCAGAATGACTGCAAAGAATATTCCTGTGCCAGCTCCAGGATGTAGGAAAGCCTTGAATTGAGACAAAGAAGGCAAATGGATGTGATAAGGAAATATAATTAAATCATTAACAAATTCTAGAGGGAGAGTCATGCTACTGTATTTTAAGACACACAACAGAATATCATGTTGCACAGTATTTTAAAAGTGACCACATGTATTGTGGCACATTAGCTCAGGATGAAGAAAATGTTATTTTTAAGCAAAGAAGCAGATCAGATTTTCTTTATGCATGTCTTTTTGCTATGAAGTTCTCAGTGTGAAACTTTGGTAGAAACATGCATATAGGAAATGTGTACAACGGTACCTAATTTAAGGACATGTCTTTATTAGAGAAAACAGAGAAAAAGTCAGAAAACAGGGTTGTTTAATTTAAATCAACATGTTCACACCTTGACAGCTCAAAGAAAGTAATGTTTCTAATGAAACCAGACTCTGCCTTCTCCTTCAGGAAGAAAGGAGATTGTTATTTTGCTTTTGTGGTGTTTTCCAAGCATTTGGAAGATCATCCCAAAGAGTTTGTTGTGTTCTTCCTTTTTTATTTTAAGACGATGTAAGTGCCCCAAATATGATGAGAGCTCTTCCATAGAAAGATACACATCTATATGTCCCCAGGGCACATAACCTGCAACTCCAGAACCGCATATTCCCTCCCCTACACACACAGTGTTGAGTAAGACCAGAATATCTCCAGAAGTTGCTGTCAAAGTACAATTTTAATATAACAGAGGAGGAATGTTACTCAGTGTGTAATGGGCAAGCACATTAACACTTTACATTCAATTTTAAATGATAATTTAACATTGCTGTTTTGATTCTGAGTTATGGCCCAGAAATGCCACTTAGGCAAAGGGTGGCCATGTGCCCCAATATAGCTATTCCCTCTTGACATACACCATCAAACCTGTTTCCAAAAGACGAGAAATACTCATTCACAGTTTTCTGTAGGTCACTCAGTGATTCCAAAAAAATACATTTCAGTGTGCACAGCACTTACAGAAGGTGCAGGGGGTGCTTTAAGTGATGCTTCAATGACATGGATGACCCCATTGGAAGCAATAATGTCCCACTCACAGATAGCTTTACCATTCACATATTTGGTTGTCATCTGGAAAGAGAAAGAAAAAAAAAACTGAGCCACAATGTGATGAATATATTATATGACCTTACTAAGTTACTCCCTGGAACAGAGCTGATGTTTACTTTTCAGTGCTTAGATCTTTCTCATATGATTCTACTCCTGCCTAAAAGAACTCGCCCTTTTTTGTGCTGTTGGATATTAGCCCAAAAGAGAGTCAGTTCTTCCTTGGCTGAAGTGGTGGGAGGTGGCTGCTCAGGGAGGAATCTCATACAAAGAAAATTGCTTTTGCTACACATTCAGTTTAAAAAGAGAGATTGGTTGAGCAAATCTCATTTTTCCCCATCATGTTACTCAACCCAGAACTGGTAAGTAATATATTGGGGTTTCTACACTGACTTTTTTAAAGCAAAACAAGTTAAGTTACTGAACCAAATACATATCAACATGTTGATTATACATTCAGGTGTACATATATAAAATAAGAGATGATCCTGGGTAAACCCTATGCAAAGAGTAATTCTTCACTACTTTTTTTCTTCTCATAGCCAATGAAAAGAATTTAGCCTCTGAATTTTGAAAGACATTTCTATGCAAAATCATACATGAGAAAGTACATGAGAACCCAGACTACTAGCTAAATTAAAAGAAAAAGTAAGAAAAGTGCTGCCAATGATGCCCGGTGATAATAGAAAATGAGCATTTTAGAAAAAGTGGTCATGGTAGACAGAACAGGATGGCAGAGAAATATGAGGAGTGGAGAGGGAACAAGCTTATGCAGATCTGGTGATCTTCCAGAGCTTAGAGATGGGATTCAGTGACAACATTTTATACTTGATGGCCCATAGTCAATGCACTTCATTCTGAAATGTGACCTGGCCATATCTACAGTATATTCTTCATTCTTATGGCAGGAAAGCAATACTACTTCTGCACTATGCAGATGACAAATACTATAAGTGGCTATAAATGTTGTTATTAATAGTAGCAGTGGTACTGCCCAATCATAGACGTTATGTGTTTTTCAAACTTGGCAACTTTAGTTGTGTTTACATTCCCCCATCTCCCCCCCCCCACACACTCGGGGGGGGGGAGCTGGGGGTGGTGTGGCGCAAAAAAACA